AGTTTTTTGTATTTCTCTTTTATTCTTTGATTTTATTGATATGGGCAAACACAGTGATAGTCTATTTTGTGTAATGTAACAATAGTAAAGTTCCTTCTTCAGTTATGTGCATTTCCCCCTGCAATCAGTCTATATTTTTATTAATTGGGTCAGGTGTAGCGAAAGGAACGTCGGTGGAAGGGGACTAAGGCGAGCGTGCAGATGACACTTACCCGTGGAGATGATAACGGGTCCATACCCGAAGGAAGTACACACATTTTGCTTATAGATAGTATAGTCCAGATCAATGTTTTTCAACGACGTATTGCTTTACTGTGGCGTATTCTGTGATGGAACAGCGATGTCGGTACGATATGGTACGACTCTAGTTCATGTTGTGTAGACTTTTGTTTTCAGCGATTGTTGCATTTAATTAATTTGGAGAATCAATTAATATACCGTTATATGCGCTACTTAGGCAGGATGTCCATTGTTCTGGTTGCTATCAAGTTGTAAACATGCAAGCTGTTGATCCTAAACAGTAATGCAACATCGTGTGAACCAAATTAGTGTACATGGTGTCATTTATAAAACTTGTCTTGCCACACGCTTCCGACATATACATTTTGTTCGAAAGGTCCACTATGCGACACTGTCAACGAGTGATTTTTGCAATATCTATCTATTCTTGTAAATTTCAGGTAATCCATTAGGCAACCATTGCTACAGCATATGAACTACCATATTCACCTAAGTTTTGAAATGATGTACAGCTTGTCATAGTAGCAGAATGCTTAGTGAACGTTAGTAACAGTAGAACCATAGTTCATTTTTCAACTTTTCAACCCTGTTGTTACCTTTAAAAACACATTGCACATATCAATAGTCATTCACCCTTGCTTATAAAAGTATATGTTGCTCAACTAGTTCGTCGTAAAGCAGTATTTAGATTCTGGTATTTATTGTAAGTTAGGTGAATTAATCAAAATTTCAGATGATAACCCAGCTTATGTAACAAATTGAATGACATGAATAACATATATCATTTTACAACAATAATAACACGGCAATATATTAGTGCATATTGAATTCTCATGAGCACTGTATACACTGCATTTTTTATAAGTTTTGTTGATTTTTGGTTTGCTTATTCTTAGCTATATTTTGAAGCTCTATCAATAGTGGAATAAAGTCAAAAATAATTTTAAAATATAAGAAAACACGCCTATGTCCCGAGAGTTTTTTTTTATCTGTGTATTTATGTCTGTTATTCTCTTTACCTTACTAAATCCTATGATGCGTTAGTTGTGTAATAATAAAGTTATTAATATTATTTACACTTTCATGTCACACACGTGGCAGAACAATCTTTCAAATATTCAGCAGCTGATCAAACTATTGGGATTAATTAACACAATTTAGACATACTATGCAAAGAGGCCGCCATTAAATACCACAGCGACCACTGCTCTTTCTATGCCATTTTTCAGTTCTTGATACGCACATATCAGATGACAAAGCACGTCCATTTTTATCAGTCTACCATCCAAGCATGCGACTTGTGTCCACTCAATACAACCCCCGCGAAAGCCATTATATTATGTAATTTGCACACGCCAAGAGGCTGGTGTACGTCACATGGAGAAATGAAGAAGATTTCAGTGAAACTATATTGCAGATTCATTTGATGATACAAGTTTTTCTAGCGTAGTCTGTTCAATTTTTTTGTATTTGGCATTCCACATTATGTCGCGGCAAAAGTGACATGTTGTAGGTCATCTATTTTGACAAAGCAAGAATGTGTCAATTACTAAATCGATTCAGTGTTATTTCAAAAGTGTTATTGTTTTGTTGGAGTGAGTGAGTGAGTGAGTGAGTGAGTGAGTGAGTGAGTGAGTGAGTGAATAGTGACACTTGGAATATGTCGTTCTCTGGATTGCCAGTACTCCAGTGTGGGGTTGATAATATTTTAGATTGCAGTTCTCTATTTTTTGAAATTATTTTGTGGTGGGATATTAAGCGTTTATTTTCTTCATGGACACATTTTAATTTTGTTCAATATTTGGCATATTTCTGTATGATACCAATCA